TTACTTTTTAAAGTTAAGAGAATAAATTGAAACATTGTATAAAATTAAATGACCAAATACATATTTTAGTCAAAACATTTTTTTGGCATTCACACAAAATGTTTTTTCCCTACTTCTTATAACCTCATAATATAGGTCCAATAATCAATAAGGGTTAGTTCAGTTAGTAAGGATTCGATTCATTATTTATAAAGTCATGACTTCGAATTCCATAATAGATGTAAGAATCTTTTTTGTGAGTGAGTTCGAATCCTACTGCTAATGTGAAAATCTTGTTGGTAGATAATTTGTAAATACCCATTTAAGTGTTTTTTAAATCTAAAGATATGTTTTAACCCTGATAAGCTTTAACGTGATATTCTCTACGTGTCTAGAAAAATCCTCAAACTTTTTGCCTATGAATTTTGGGCCCCAGGGGTGATAATTCATGTTACTTAATTCCCACCTACACATAATTAAAGAGGGCGTTACGCTTTGTCTGTGTAAAGTCAGTCAATGGCCCCCAAAAAAAAATTCCAATCAATTTTGCAAAAGCTTGCATTTTTCGCTGTTTCACATTCCAACAACCTACTGCCTGATGTTGATACATCTCGTTCACATCATAAGTCCCGTTTTTGAATTAATGATCAATGGATGCATTCACTCATCCATCCTATTCATAAGAGATTTTTAATGTTTTATTTGAATGAAGAATTAGAACGAAGAAAACCTTTAATTTTATTAATTTTATTTTAAAATCTAATAACTTTTTGGTTTTATTCTTGTTTAGTATTACCTCTTATCCTTGATATAAAAATTAGTTTGACTTTCAATTTAGTCATAAATATAAAACTCTAATTCATTTTGTTTTCTATATTTATCTATTTTTTTCAAAGGGATCCTTGTAGTAGTTGTATGTGCTAAAAATTTTATCAAATCGTAGTTATAGTTAATATACATGATTAACAATGATATTCTATGGAAGATAATACTTATTTATTACAAATAACTAACTTCACAAACTTTTTTAATCTACTTAAATTAATCAATCAATTTTTATATTAAAGATCGGAGGTAGTATATATTCAATATTTTACATAACTTTAATTAGTTAATGCCTTGTCCCTCTTGTGGTGGCAAAAATTAAAAAATAAAAAAAACTTCCGATGAATAATAAATAAGGGGGTGTACTACATTCAGGGAAAAAAATAACATAAAAAAAGTTAGAAATTATAATATTTCAATTCAGACACCTAAGAAGTTAAAATCTTAAAAGAAGTGGTGCTTAATATATTATTTTGCAAATGTAAGTAAATGACTAAAACGCCCTTGTACTAGAATTTTTTTAAAGTCATCAAATTTATCATTGCTCGTATATTTCTTATTATTAATTTTTCAACACTTACTACTGACAATTCACAATTTATTAATAAATAACTTGTCATTATCAGTATATTTCTTGTTATTTGTTGTGTAACACTTATCATTGTCAATTCATAACTTGTTAATCAATTTTTTGATACAAGGGCAATTTCATCATTTAACTACATTTGTAAAATGCAAAATGAGGCATCACTTCATTTTTTGAGATTTTGACCTCTTAGATGTTTGAATTAGAAAATAGCAATTCCCAACTTCTTTTTTATGTCATTTTCCCATATTTATATGTGAAATTTAATAATATGACTTATAAATTGGATAACAATATATTTTATTTGTTTTATAAATAGAACTAGAGCAGAATATTAATTTAACAGACAATTTAAAAAAACCCATCTTGAGAACTGAACTTGTATCCACAAAATTCGTAAGTTCAAACAAAGAAAGTTCAACTAGTGTATTTTTATTCTTTTTTGTTTTTTTAAATATCTTAAGCTTTTTATAATGATTGTCATGTTCTCTGTGATAATCCTAAAGCCAGTGATACATGAGCCCAGCGCAAACGACAGAGTGATTATTAGAGCTCAGTTAAGATTAACTTGTTCTATAACATAACTAATTATTTTTCCTCATGCAATATCCCAGAAAAATAATAATTTACATATCACTCCTTTGATTCAATTTATAAGATAGGAAGAAGAGATTTTTCTTAATTCTATGTATTAGTTATTTCTTTAAATTTTTAGCACGAATTTACTATTTTGTCATTTATTTACTGTAGTGTAAATAATTATTTTTTTTGAAAACGTATATATTAAATAAAGGTAAAGTTAAAAAGTTGTTATATTTTAATGAATAGTCAATACAGTTTGTGATTTTCCTTAATTTGTGTGAAACATATTAAGAATGCCTCATAAATAAGACTAGAAGAGTGTTTTTATAGTGAAGAGTTTATTGACATGCAAAAGGAAAAAAAAGAAACTAATACACATACATTCATACACTTTTCACTGTTACAAATATTGTTTTTAATCTAGCTAAATTAGTTGGCGGAAAAAAAAAATCTAGCTAAATTAATACTCCCTCCGTTCCTTATTATAAGAGACAAATAATTAAATTACGTTGATAAAAAAAACAATTAAAATTAGTTGAGAACAATTAATGTGTAAAAAGTATAATGTTTTTTCCAACAATGCCCCCATTAATAAGAAGAGAGAGTATGAGAGAGAATAATTAAATTATTAAAAGAAAGAGAAGTGGGAGGGGGAGAGAGTATGAGTTGGAGACAAAATAAATAGGGGTAAAATAGGAAATCAATATAAAAAAATAGAGACAACTTTTAAGTGTCTTTTATATATAGAAATATGCCATAAGCATCAAATGTTTCTTATAATAAGGAACGGAGGGAGTCGTAAGGATCCGACTCTAATCTGTATTAGAATAGCATGATTAATTGATTATAGCTGTTTATTAATTATCTGTGACCTTATAGCTTCTGTATACATGTCTCTTTGCTTTAATTAATTTAGATCTTGCTTTACCGTTTTTTTTTCAGGAAAAAAAAACAGCTAATAGAGGCAGTAACCTTAATGATATGGGATACTCCTAGGCAAAAATAACCAGTAAAATTTACTCGTATTTTGGTAAATTTCAGAACTGAGAAATCACTATTAATCGAAAAAATTTATAACTGGTAAAAAGTCGCATTATTCTAACATATACATGTACATATACATATATATACACACACACATACACACACACACACACACACACACACACACACACATATATATATATAATAACTTGACAACAACACAGCTCATTTCATGCTCTGCATGACTATCATGGAGGCGCGCTTTTGCTAATTTAAAAATTTAAGCATGATTGATGAAGTAATGTACTATTCATTTAAACATAAAAAGTAAAAATAAGGAAAATTCATTTTGGAAAAAAAGAAGAAGAAAAATTTGTTATCGAAAACTTTTTAAATTAACTAATTTTATGAATCATGACTCATGAAACGGCCATCAAGATAGTGTTAGGCAAGATAGTGTTAGGGGGTGTTTGGAGATTAGGAGAAGTGCTTTTTAAAAGCATTTTTCTGTAAATTAAAATAAACTTTTTCACATATTTATTTCGTATATCGTAAGATTACTTCTGAAATTATGATATGATCTTTATCTAAATACTCCCTTAGAAAGTCAAACTGCCTTGTAAACCCAAAAAGAAGAAAAAAGCAAGTTAAACAAGTTCACCCAAAAAAAAGAGGAAAAAAAATAAAAAAACAAAAATGAAATATCTATAAATAAGCTAATATAATGACGTAATTCGAGACTTGAAAACTCATGCCAAGCCGAAGATTTAATCCCACTTGTAACGATAAGAAGCTAGTGTTTATTTCTCTAATAAATTTTAAAAAATATAAATAATTTAGTATTATTTTCAAATAAAATATTGCTTCCGGTCTTAATTATAAGATTTTGTTTATAATCTATAAACAAAGTTTTATAATTAAAACAAGAGGCAGTATATTTTTGTCTTATTTCATTAACATTTTACAGAGACGTGACTTCTTGTAACTTGTTTTCCGACCAGCATGACTTCTTATAACTTACATTCAATAAAGACCTCGCTCATCATATCTTGTGACATGAAACGTTCTCTTATAAGTTGGAAGAAATTTATCAATAAATTATTTTCCAACCGGATATTTTTTTGGTCACAATTTTGTGTTTTTTTTTTGGCAGCAAGGTCACAATTGTGGTATTAAGTATTAACATGGCCTTTGCTCATAGTCACTTAGGGGTGTTTGGATGAAACCCAACTATAATTTGGAGAATAGCTTCTGGAGAATAGATTCTGGAAAAAATAGATTTTGTTACAAAGTAATTCTGATAAATGAGAGTGTTTGGATAGTTGTTATTATAAGAACTTTTTATATGTACAAATTTTACTAAAAAAAACATAAGTTAATATGATAATTACATAAAAGATAAATTTTATAATATATTTTAATTTGAAAAAATAAAATTGTTAATAATATATTTTTTACCAACATAATTAATATTATATAAAATAATATAATTAATATGTATATATTTATAAAATATAAGATTAAATATGTTTATAAAAAAATAATTGAGGAATGTTAAAATCATATTATCGTTGAGATCTATTTACAGACACAATCATACTCTCTCATTTGAGCCAAAAACAGAATGGATTCACTTCTTCTAAAACCATGATTTTGATCCAAAATTATAGTTTCTGTTTTTTTCTGGGTGTTTCACAAGTCTGGAACCCAAATCATGATTTGGGTCCCAAACCCATAATTTTCTATGTTATCCAAAGGCCCTAATGACATAAAATAATCAATTTTGTATTGTTAGTGCATGTTTTTATGAAGCAAAATTATGACATACTCCCTCTCCTCTTCTTCTCTTCTGTGAGTTTATCTGTAAATGCACAGAGAGGAAAGGACAAAAGAGAGAGCTCATCAATACCCACAAAAGTACAAAACCTTTTAGGGAGAGAGAGAAACGTGGAGGAGACACAGAGATGGCAAACCCAAAGAGCTAAGCCATGACCAAACTGCCAGGCCACACTGCTTCTCTCGCACCTATTCCTCCTTCACCGCAATGTCTCTTTCATCGGAGTACTCTGCCGCCGGTTATTTGTTCTGCCGCGAGGACGCTGCCGACGTGTTGTGCTGCGGTGAAGATGTGTCGATCTCCCGCCACCCTCCATCACCATCATCTTACCTCCCGCTCTATTCTCCGCCGTCCGAGGAGATCACCATCGGCGAACTCATCGACGTAGAGTCACACCTCATGCCGAGCCAAGATTACCTGAATCGCCTCCGTGATTGTCCGATCGACTTCACCAATCGCCAGAAGTCCACTAACTGGATCTTCAAGGTAGCGAGGAGTACTCTCGCACTTTCGTCGAAGAAACATTTTCTGTTTTTTGGTTTCGAAATTGGTTTCTGACTTTCTTCATCTCTGCGCAACGCAGGTGCACGCCCATTACCAGTTTCGTCCGGTGACGGCGTTACTCTCCGTCAACTACTTCGACCGTTTCCTCTCGTGCTCTTCTCTTCCGGTACAGTACGGCCAGATTATACCGAAGAGGAACTAACTGATTTTCTGGGAGAAGTTTCTGACAATTCTTTATTTTAGTTCTTTTAAAATTGTTTTAATAAATAATAATTGTATATCTCCTTGGGCTGGACCTGGTCGCAGCCAGCTGGGTGGCCGTTTCAGCTATTATCAGTGGCGTGCTTGTCTCTTGCGGCGAAAATGGAGGAACGTCGAATCCCGAACTTGCTAGACCTGCAAATATTCGATCCCGGCTTCGTTTTTGAATCCAAGTCGGTTCAGAGGATGGAGCTCTGGATCATGTCCCAACTCAACTGGAGATTGCGATCTGTCACGCCCTTCGATTACCTCCATTACTTCTTCTCCAAGCTCCCTGCGTCCTCATCCGATCCTAAACCCGGATCGGCGACCCGGTTGTTCAGAGCCTCCCAGTTCATTCTTACCACCACCCGCGGTACAATCTTTGAAGCTTGGCCTGATCATTTCGCTACGTTCAGTGTGATTATTCGTTTTTTTCCATTGAATTAATGATTTTTCTTCAAATTAATGGGTTCGATTGCAGTGCTCGATTTCTTGAGATTCGCACCGTCAAGTATTGCCGCCGCCGCCGTGCTCTGTTCGGCCGGCGTAGCCTCTGACGTCTACCCCCAATCACTGCCGTTTTTCATGACAGCATGAACAAAGTACGCTATACTAATGCTAGTACGGCACATGTTTTACTGGGTAGTTCTGATTTCTCAGAATGAAATCGATAATATAGTATTGATTATTAATTATTGCTCCCGAAAAGTGGAAAGGGGATCATTCATTCATTCTAAAAGAGGGTTTTACAGTAACAAAACAAAATGTTTGTTTGTTTTGGATTTTTTTTTGTGAAATAATAAAGGATGTGATCTTTTTTTTGGAGAACAGGAATGATGAGAAGCTGTCATCGACTAATGGAGACGTACGTGGATGACACGTGTCGCGGGAACGAGGCGGCTCCTACTTCAAGTCCAGCAGGCGTGCTCGACGCCGCCGCCGCTCATGCGGGCTCCGACACCCGTTCTGAGAACGCAGGCTCCGCCGCCACTACCCAAACCGACCAGCGGCGGAGGAAGCGGCTGCGATCCTCTGCACCGAATGTACAGGCAGTTTAGCGCCTGTGGTTAAGATCATCAAGCATCCGAAACACATGGGAGATTCATCTGTTGTCATTTGTCAAAGATAGATAAAACAAAAGGCTACAGTACTTCTGATAATTTTTCCTTTTTTAACTAAAATGAAAAAAGGCAATCACTGTTAATGTAATTTTTATTTTTTAAATTTATTCTCATTTTGATTCTAATTTATCAATTTCAAATATATGTCTTGATTTTTAAAAAGCAAAATGGTTTAAATTTTTATTAAATTATAAAGACTAATATTTTAAATAAAAAATTAAAAAAATTAAATTTATTTTAAATTCAAAAAAAAAATCACGGTGAGAGTAAATTAAAATAGAAAGTTTGTATTGACCCATCACTCACGATGGGATCATCCGTTGATTGGTGGAACACCCTGGTCCAGTGGTTTTTGTGATCCGCTGTATTCTTTGGACAATTATTTGCCAATATAATATATTAATATAATGACAGTACAAAATCTAGTGAGTTTTTCGCTGGGACTTTTGTAATAATGTTTCAATTATTACCAATTTACCCATTGACCTAGGAGGATTCACAGTGGAAGTTTTTTCATTGAAGACATTTTTAATGAATCCTGACAGATTTGTTTTTTTTTAATTTTTTTATGGTGGAACAGTAGAAAATCTTCCAATGAGTGTTTTTTTTTTTTTTTAAAGTAATGTCCTTAAATGGGTGACGCATCTCCTCTGTTACGTTGAGAAACAGTGAGGTAACTAGCAGCAGCAGTAATTAGAATTGGTTTAACACTTGTTCTTTCTAAGTGAAACTTTGGATTCAATTTTGTAGGGAAAAATACACTTCAAGTGTTGAAGGTAAGAGATATTTAATTAATTTGGATAAATTAATAAAATTAAGTAAATTAATTAATTTTAACAAGGATAACATTATCTCCTAAAAATATTATATGTGACACTAGATTATATATTCATTTGTTTGTAAGTTAGATAAACTAATCATTAAAAAAGATAAATCTGAAAAATAAAATGAATTAAAATTTTAAATTTCTTATAAAAAAAATTATATTTCATGTCAAAATTATCTTTTTTCTTGCTAGCTTCTATGTTTAAAATTAGAGGAGAATTATTTATGGTTAAGGATACGACCAAATCTGTACTAATCATGGGTAAAGAGCATGCTCCTGCAAAAGATGTCATGTGCATAGTGATTATATATTTTTTTATATAATATAGATTGATAAGAAAACATATTATTTATATATTGAAGAATAGCTGGCCAAAAAAAAATATATTGAAGAATAATTCATTTTATGTGGAAAGAAAAAAAAAGGATGACGCGGGGGAGGGAATTGGATGGCGCGAAATGGGGCGAAAATTTTGGAGGGAAAGGATCGGAGGCGGGGCGGAGGCAACAGGGAGGAATCGAAGCCTTGAAATGGGGAAGGGACACGTTGGAGTTAGGGGTCACATCAAATGGAGCAAAACACACCAAATGAATATTGTGATCTGACTCTGACTCTGAGATGTGACTGATCGCTTTTCCTCTTGTTGCGGAACCTGCCTTTCTCCTTTCTTTGTCCCTTCCCTCTCATTTTTTGTTGTTCGTTATATATTTTCTCACATCAACAAGTAAGAAACTAATTTTACATGGTATTATTAAATATTGTAATGAAAAATCTTTCAGGACATGATGTTTAAAGTGTTTAGATCTCTCCCATTTTCTTCACATTTTCGTGATTTCATATTCAATTCTCACCTGTTCGGATTCGGGTCGGATTGGGGTTCGGGTTTGGGTCCACTTCCAAAATTACTTTTTTTTTTTCTTTAAAATATAAATTTTTTCCCATTATTTAACTCATCACCCTTGGAACAAAAAAAAAACAAACATCACCCAAAAAATATTTAAAAATAAGTTAAATCAAATACTCTCAAACCTGTAATCTCAAATTATATCCGCTATAAAAATTTAAAAACAAATTATATTGTAGGATGAATCAAAACATAATTTTGAACAAAAAATTATCATATTTTAAAAATTTTCAAAATAGACAGGATAATTAGATTATACTATAAAAAAAAATATAATAGAATTGTTAACAACCTGGTGTGAAATATAAAATTTAGAACAAATTATTTTGCACCTGAGCCATAGACATTTTTATAGTGTTAGAAAAATATTGAGTTATTAAAATGCATTTTTTAAATAAAATAGTTACAGAAGAGATGTGGATACAATGTAAAAATTGTAGGTTGATCAAATTGAGGTCAAATTTTAAAGACCAAAACCACGATTGTTACAGGATCAAAATCAAAATAACATCAAGTCTCAAATATTAAAAATGGAATTAATATTTTTTTTTAAAAAAAGTTAAATAGAATTGATTGAGAGAGTGTTTAATGAAAATCAAACATAAATTTTAAAAATAATTTTACAGTATACGAAATAAATATATAAAAAAAATTATCTCAATTTATAAAAAATACTTTTAAAAAAAATATTTTTTGAAGAAAAGATGGCATAGGGCCAACCGAGCACGTCAGTGATGTTGAGTAATAGGTATCGGTGGCTAACCTGGTCAGGTGATTGAGTTGTACTCTTCCGATCTTTAATATGAAGATTTATTTA